TTTGGTTTGGTGCAACTTGCTGTTAGTTCAGTGTGTATATGATGCACTTTTATTATATCCCAGTAATTTGTGATGATGCCTTCAGATGTTTATGTCCGCAGTGTGTGCGTGGATGCCTTAGTGATTGCAGCTTAAAAGCGTCTTTTGCATTATCATACAGCATACAGAACTTGGTGAATGTTAGATTACGTGGCTAAGATCACGATGATTGGCTTCATTTTTCAATACATGTATGGTTAAGGCGCACACTGTTTTCTGTATTCTTAAACCATCGATGGTCCACGATGTTTCAGTATTGCGAAAGTGCGTCCATTGTGTTCACCCTATGGTCATTTTAAATCAGATGCCGAATGGTAGTTGGGGTTCGTTTGTGAGTCATGCTTACAAAAGTCGAGTTAGTCAATCCTTCATTAACTTCTTAGTGGGTAACTTCAATGTCTTCCGGGTCAATACACTCATCCTGTGGCGGCCTCATGTGGTTCGCTATTTTAGCTCCCGGCTATAGTGAGAGACAAATACAGTCTTTTTTGATACTCTAAAAGTTCGTCTTTCAGTACCCAGCGCTATGTTCCATACAGTTTTCTTTACCGGCAGCTGTTTGATTTTCTAATACTCACACTTGATATTATGCTGGCCAGTCTATAGACAAAGTTACTGGCCAGTTGTTTCTCACGGTACTGTTCGGGCATCTTCCTAAATGGTTGAAATGGATCAAGTCGTTTCCTCAGTTTCACACAGTGTAGTTCTATGCTGATCGATTTTTATTGTTTCCCTCTCCAATGTATAGAAATCGTCACTACAGACCAACAAAAAGAAAACAGCATAAGCTAATGTTAAAACTTTTTAAATAAGAGTATCGTCGCTTCACATTCTTTAAACTCAGCGGAACAACAAATCTCCGTGACACTAAGATTTTCAATAAAGAAAACTGAAGCTGCCAGTCCCCATAAATATTGCGTTCACATCCTATTTTAGTTTTCCGGTTCCTTTTGTGTTGCATCACCACCGTTCCCTTGAGAATTATTGACGGGGACTGACGCTGACCGCTTGCGATTCGAATGTGTCGTTTCATCACGTGCTGGATTGGTTTACCATATGTCCGGAATTCAAGCCAATCCTCTCAGTCATACCCTTGCTGTCGTACTTTGTACTGCTTTAATGTGTAAAACTGTACTGTTGGCCTTATCATATACTGTTGACGCTATTTTGGATAAGCTATCCCCCAGCTGGATACGTATCCGGTACAGTTGAGCGTATGTCGTGCTCGTTGCCATGGTTGGTGACCCATATGCGTATTTATGTGTAGACGTGCACATATACTCATGAATGACTGAACGCTTGGTCCCAAGGGTTAGTCCTTCCTTGGCCAATTCTTTTATGACATTGGAACAGTGAGGCTACTCAGAGTGTGGAAGAACTCAGACGATCCCTGGGAAGATGGATGAATCACTCTTTTGTACACGAACTGTTGTAGGTGAATCTAAGGTGAAACACAAATGCTCTTGGGTGTAAACCTTGGGAAGCCTATCCAGCCATTATATAACTGTGATCATTATTGCTTCTTTAGTTTGGACATTTTTGGTCGTGAAACCGTTGTATGCACCGATTGGGATGTGATAATAGATATAAGGAGTGAATCAACCACTGCAATTATTCGTGTTGACTTCTGTGACACTTTCTCATTCGTTTTTACAATGCAAACTGTCAGACGAAATGCCGTCGGTCGAGTATGGAAAAGTACGAATGAGTGATGCACTCTTAAAATATCGTTTGATCGATGTTTGCTCAGCACTGTTCTCATCGGGTATACACCTTAGGGTCTACTAAAACTGTGCTGTGTTTTGCACCGAATCGATAATCCCGGATTTTATGGTGCATTTCAACGTCATCTGTCTGCGATGATGCTTATATTGTGATAGAAGATAATGAAAATGAGTACGCGTTCAACGTCTTCTAGGGAAAAATTTCCCCAGTGGATACTATTTATCCGTTGATATAAAGCTGATTTAAATTGTCTTCTCTTGTGGTCAGTGGTGCGATCTTTTGTTTGACCATCTTTTTTCTCAAGAATGACAAATCTCAGGGTTGGTTTCCATAAGCGCGGTTTGTTTAAAGCCAAATGGCCAAATAGCCAATTATGTCTCTGCTCTCATGCTACTTGGGATTCTATGTATTGTTAGAAAGAAGTGGCACAGTGATTTTGTGTGCTCAGTGGGACACATGGACCGGGCGATTTTGTGGATTCCATTTTCGCACACCACAAATCATAATCCCCTCCTCTCATTCTTTCGCGCCGGGATGCTGCATATCTCAGCTGTAACACACCGTCAAAACGATTTGTCAGAATGTGGCTGCTACTGCATACCAGTTGCCACTTGTGGCCTGATAATGTACACCCATTTACAATAAATGAGTAAAAGTTAGGTGATTCCCCTGTCAATTGTGCTTTGCACCCACACCCTACCCAAGATCTTACATTTCACTAATAGCAACCAACTTTCCAACCGACCCATTTTTGATGAAAGACTGGAAAAGGATCTAATAGCACCTTATTTGTGAACTTCTTATTGTTTGTTTATTCATTTTTTTTGCGTGGATTCGTCCTGGGTTCATTGTCTACAAACATGGAGTTAAGAAATAAAGTGACACATACTTGGTGAGATTATTGAATATAAGTTTAACGAAGTGAGTTTTACTTACCCCATTTCGCTTATCGTGTCTAATAATGTTTATTTGTTCAGAGGTTTTCTTTCCTTCAGGTAGACGCACTACAATTCACTAAAAATAAATGGCACATTAATAAAACACTCTCGAAATATGATGTGTGGGAATCGACATTGCCCTTTTCTCATCTGTAAGGGAAACAATTGATTGCGCTTTTGTATTTGTGTGTATGCGCTTGTGAGGCTTGTTTTACTGATACAGCACGATGGAAACATTACTGTATGAGGTTGAATTGATTGAAATAAATTAAAAGCAGTTTTCCATTTTGCTTATCGAAATGAGCAGAGGTAAGGAGCAAGGGGGAGGGGCTGAAGATACTAGTAAAGCTGATAAACGCAATGGATTTTAGTAGCTCTCACATGATTGGAGATGAGCTGTTTCGTTCAGTCTTCTAGTAGTTGTTTTTTGTGGTTGAACTAAGATCACGCGATATATCAACGGTTAGGGATCACCAATAATTGATTGTAACCAAATTTATAGCAAATATTGATGTGTCCTTTCATGCTATGCTCGTGTTTCTGATCTGCACCCGTTGTCTGTTCCAACGCTCCATTCCGTGAATCGACTGTCAAAGGACAGCAAAAAGAATCATACTAATGACGTTCAAGGTTAATGGTCCTATTTCCGATGCTGAGACGCACGAATAGCTAGCACACAACAACCTTTCATCAAGTGCATGTTGAAGATGCCACAACTTCAAATTGGTCGTGTTTTGTTCAGTCTTAGACTTGACTAAAAGCTCAGCTCCGGGCAACTTGAAACCTATCACTACCACTAACCTAAAAAATCAATAGTAAGTTATTTACACACGGAGTTATGGATTTGAAATGTGAACTAACGTACTACTTCTGCATTGTGCACATTCACGTCGTTATGGTTTCCATTGTTGTCAGTAAAAATTGATGCTGCTCTCCGTTCGGTTTTACACCTGTAGAACACTCAAACCACAGTCTGCATTGGAGGGAAACCACGCACGGTGCACATCGTTCGAACTTGCGAACCTCACTCGCAAACAGTGGACAACTTTACACAGTCTCGTAACGGTTTGTCAGTTGGGACGGACCCAGTGGATAACCGGAACAACGCATCCGAGAGCGTTGGCGGTTCCGTGTCTCTGTTGGACTCCTCATCGTATTCCACACCGACGGATAAATCCAATTCGGGTGTTTCTGTATCCACGTCCACGGATGGGAAACGAAAGCAGACCGTCGGAACCGATCCCGACAACGGTCATCACAGCCGCACTTCATCTACAGATCGCGCGACTGCCGAGGTGGCTCCAGCCGATCCGTTTGTCGCCGAACAGGTACGGTGTTTCGCTTTTTGACAATGTTATAGGCATTGGGTTTTTAGTTTGCGGTTCGCTGAATGACACTTAGATGCAAACATATGATCAGAAAAGCAGCCTTTTTTCAAAAACGTCAGCCTTTCCCAAACGTGTTTTGCTGCACTTTGATGGCATCCCCCCTCACGAATGACGCCGTGATGTAATAGGTCGAGCCACTTTCCTTGTTGATAACCTCGTGGGGGGAGCTTACAGCATTGCTGCCTTCAGTTCTCCGCTTTTCTTTGAGCATTTTTAACCTTCTTTATTTCATTACACCCGTAGAAGGCACTAACTGATGCGGACAATAGATTATGCTCAGACTTTGGTATCATACTCCCCTTGGAATATATTGATTTAATTCATTGATTCATGGCCATCTGACCGCGTCTATTGAGCTGACTCCCACTGTCTTTGATCGTATTAGATGGACTAACTAGACTTCTGATCACGTGATCGTTTAGTCACTTCTGTGCTCATAGAAAGAATAGGGGAGAAAGATGTCGCCACTGATTTAGATGCGATCTGAACTAAGTTGCATTTCACTACGTGTGCATGCGTGCTTGCATGGATGCACTGAATTGATCATTGCTTGAAAATATAGTCACGGGATACCTAAGAAGTATGCAGTGGTAACAATAAAGCTAAAAGGTTGAATCTCTGAGATGCGATTAAGGTATGTGTTTGTGAAACAATCTCATGCCTAATTTGTGTAGTGTTATCACTGAACTTTCATGAAATACGCGGATATTTTCGGAAGGAAGGTAATATAGAATTCACTACGCTGCAGTCTTGCGGATATGCCACGAACTCAGTTCGAAATCCCGGTGTGTAAGAAGTCAACACCACTTCCATAAGCTGCCTGTTGCCTATTCGTGCATTCTAACGGGGACGAGAGAAGCGGATAGTTTGCGGTATGGTTGAGAAATGAGCATATAGGTGATGCACCCATGTGTTATTGCTGTATCTATCGAACTTTCGGTGGAAAAAGGCTGAACTTTGTATTGAGATGAATAGGATGACTTTTTCCTCTGGTTCGGAAGATGACGTATTTCCAACCAAATTCATGAGGACAAAATGGTCAGGCCATTTTATCATATGAAGACACCCAACGTGATGATTTCCTTGATTTTCGTAAGGTAGCCAGTTGGAGCGACCAATGTATTCCTTCCTTTGCCATCAGGTATATTATTTGGTGGTAACTGTTTAGCCTACTCCCCGAAATTCCTTACCCATTCCGCATATGCACTTGTTCTCCCGGATTCTAGGTTGTTCTGCTTTCAATCCACGTGTCTGTTTATCACCAATGAGTGGAATATTAAGTGTTCGATACAAGAACAAGTAGACGCGAATGTCTTTCCTGTTCATAGTCTGCCGCGATCGCAACGAAATCTCGATCTGTGCTTCATGTTCTGTCGTAATTCATTTTAAGCCTTCAACTTCGCCGGGTCACCGAGAAGTGGTACAATTAAACTACAGTATGACCTCTTTCCCCGATGTGATGACCACTAGTGTGGATTCAGAAATCTACTTCGTTCGCTCGGTACCCCTCCTTAGGAATATGTTCTTGTTCTAAATATAATAGAGTCTTCATAGAATAATCCGTCCTTATTTGGAACCTGGGTGTCAAAACCGGGAATGTCGAATTGAGCGAGACGAGCGGGAAAACGAGACGATATCGTGGTTATCAGCAAAAGGCGTTGAGCAGTTATTTCGTTTTTTTAGGACTGGCGAGGATCGTCTGTTACTTCTTGTTCCGGTATGCTTAGGACCGCACGTGCTAATGAAACAAGAAGGTTGCAAAATGAGGTGATGCTTATAAAGGTACAATATATGATCAAACTAGGTAAGTGACTGATAATGTTCGGGGAGAATGATCGTTTTAATGTTTAAGAATTTTCGCAGAAATTTGGTGGAATGATCTGGTCGGTCAGATGCTGTGAGATGCGAACTTAACTGCGCTTCACTCCCAATCCATCCTATTCCATTCACTTTTCCCCTCTTGCAAATCACTATTGGTGTGCGTAGTTTGGTTTGATGATTTTGACCTCTAATCTCTTTTGTTCATAAACATTCACTTTCATGTTCCTGCTTTCGAATATATATGGTGTTTTAGTTCAAAGACTGGTGTCGTGCTTTATCTCGTTCTGTCTTTCACCTGTTCAGAACGCAGTCTCACCTATCTACAACTTCACATCAAGAACAGCATTAGGCAAACGCGCAAATGAAGATACAAGCGAAAGTGAACTGATTGAATCGTCCGTATTGTCCCCTTTCAAAATCCCTAGAACACTGTTTTCCACCGTGTCACATTCTCCGATAGCACGGAACACATGTTGCTGTGAGGTTTATACCTCTCCCAATTCTGCTGAGAGCCCTATAAAAACTCCGGTTACTGTGCTTAGGAACATGTGTTTCAATCAGTCGCCAGAATCGGCTATGCACATTCCCGTACTGGATCATCCAGTCCTATCGGGAGACACATTATGTGCCACTCCAGTGGCCAAACAACAAGCTGCAAAGCCAACATTGAACAACATCCCGCTTCGTTCCGATTCGAGTCTAAGTTCCGAGCCATGGAGATCAGATGAAAGCATAGTCGCCGAACAGGTAACATAAGCATTAATTTGATATTGATAATGTGGCTGGCTCTCCTGTGTTTATGTTATCCCATTACCTCTGCTATCAATGTCTGCTTTCCTGAAAACCGGGCTTGTTCCTGATATGCTTTTCGTTCTCTCCCGCCTCACTCATGTGTATGCGTCCCCCCCACTTTGCATCCTGCTGCTGCTCATTTTCCTGCTACGTGTCCTGGGTAAATGTTTCAATTTTTGGTTCATCTTATTCAAATGCCACCGTTTCGTCTGTCACACGACGCCCGAATGGACAAGAGCTAATCAGTAAGACAGTTATCTGGTTTTCGGCTCTATTACTCATTGAGATGATGTTCAACGTGTTTCGTCTTCTCCATATTGTGCTTCGACGAAGCGTCGTAAGTACGGACTTTCGTTGACCGCGTTCGTCGCGTGCGAACATGCAACGCTTTAAAGTACAAAAGCGTATGGTTTGTGCCGCACGTCGGTTTTAGGATTAAACTGTCCTTCTATGCCCATGTTTGAGTACGTGTTCTGGCCTGTGTATGTACGTACCACGATCTTGGGCACTGCGAGCGGTTTGCATTACACAGATGTGTTTCAGTGCTTTCGGCATTTACTCCCAACGCTAGATAGTGAGGTGTTTAAACTGCAGTTAGTTTTTAGCTCTGCTAGTAGATCGAGCGGGCTAAAATTAAGGAAATGCCAACCTCGTCTCAAGCTGTCAGTTTGATTACTAGAATAAAAGCCCTGAAGGAAAAGCNAAAAGCGGAATATAAACCGGTGAGGACCTACAGCTGATTACATGAGCATTCTTTTAAGGTTCTGAGCGTCGGCAATTAGCGCGAGCGTTCCATAGTCCTGAAGTTTATCGGGACCGTGCTCATATATGGACGGACATATATAGTATATATAACTTCAAAATCGTTTAGTTCAAAAGGCTTACTGGATGTGTTACAGCTCACAAGATAACTGCAGTCATTCGTGATGTTCA